GGGGCGCAGGGGAAGTTTGGGCATTGGGCGTGTGCGTGCGTGCAAGCATGTGAGTGGCAGGGGACGCAGGTATGTGTGCATGTGGAGGTGAATGTGTGCATGTGCGCGTGCGTGCATGTGCGTGTGTGTGTGTGTAGAGGGCTGAGTCAGGTGTTGTGCGGACACTGCAGCTGCACGGCAGCAGACCAGCCTGCTGGCCTTACGCCTGCCACAGAAGTGCCCACGACAGAGCGTGCCCCTCATGCCTCGGCTAGCGCCCGGGACTGCATAACCACGGACTCCTAGCTCACGTCTCTGAACTCTATCCGCCCATCCAGCTTCGGCGGCGCTAGGTCGCCGGCCGGTGGCAGCGCGGGCGTCCGATTCATCAGTTCGATCACCTGGGGCCGGGGTGGGGCGAGGTGGTAGATGGGATGAAATTAGTTGGAAGATGCAAGCCAGGCGCCACAACTGCGGCATGGCCAAAGCGCGAGGCCAGGCAAGAGGTAGCAGCGAGCGGCGCAGGGGCCCGCGCATAGGTGATTCAGGGTGCGCAGGAGCGCGCTTTTTCACCGGCCCCCTGGCAGCACGCCCCAAGGCAGGGGCACGCGCGACGCCAGCGCAGCTGTGCAGCGGCCGGCCGTGCCCCTCCACCTTGTCGGCGGCGCCGACGGCGGCCGTGAGGGCGGAGAAGACGTCCCCCATCATGCTGAAGGCCCCGCTGAGGTTCTGCTGGTCTGCGCCGGCCGGCGGCGAGGCGGCGCGCGACGCACGGCGAGGGCGGAGGGTGGTCGGGGCGACAGGGCAGGTTTGTGTGAGTGCGGCGTGGCTTCCACCCAGGATATGGCGATTGAGAACTGGGCGTGGCAGTTACAGCACATGCTGGCCCCAGGGTGGTTCTCCATACTCTCAGAACCCATGAAAGGATCAAAAAATGCTTGTGGCAGGCCGGCGCGCACAGCCAAGGAAGCAGCGGGTATGCAGTAACACAGGACTTGCGCCGGCCTCCCCGGGGAGCTCACACAGCATGAAGGACACCAGGGCGCCGGGCGACATCTGCACACACGCCGCAGGGGGGGGGGGCGGCGGAATCAGCTCGAGCCGCAGGCAGGGGGGCCACCTCAGCAAGGCCACTGCAAGCATGCAGAAGCAGGGCGCCCCCCGCCCCACCACGCGTCCCACGCCGGCACCGCCCGCGAGACCCAAGGCTCCGCCGTCCAAAACTCGAGCCATCACCACCGTTCCAAACACGAGGCCTCGCCGTCCAAACCCCCAAGGCCCCGCCGCAGCGCGGCGCGCCCGCCGCCCCACCTTGCCGCCGAGCACGAGGCTGCCGCCGTAGTAAAGCACCGCCGCCGCCACGCAGCTCGGCAGGAACGTGGTCGTCGCCGCGTAAGCAGAGTACGCCGCCGCCTCGCGCTTCTGCAGCCCGTAGAACACCTCAAGCTTGGCCGCGTACGCCGTGCGCGCGCCGTCCTGCGCCGCGTGGGCGCGGACTGTGGGCATCGCGGAGAGCGTCTCCTCTGCGACGGCGTTGGCGTCGGCCAGCGCTGACTGGACCTTCTTGGCGAGGCGGCGGTAGTAGGCGCCGTAGACCTGGGGGGTCAGAGGTGGGTGGGTGGGTGTGGGGCGGTGCGACGGGCAGGTGGAATGCAAGGGGGGTTGAGGTGTTGATAGAGTTGGGGCGTGACAGAGCACAAACGTGGATGTTGGTTTGTGTGTGTGTGTGGGGGGGGGGTAAAAGCGGGGGCGGAGAGGTGATGAAAATGGGAAGCTCTTGCGCAGTAGCACAGCGAGGAGGATGCAGGATGTGCCCCTGCAGCACGCCTGGAGGGGTGGTGGTGGAAGAGGTCCGCGCCGCACCGGCCCCGCCGCATCAGCTGCGACATATCACCGGCCTGAGAGACGGACTGGACTGCCCTGATGGCCCGGCAGGACTTATCCAGCCCGTGAAGACGTTGTCGACTCTGGGACGACCGAATCAGAGCCCCACCCCATCCGTGGGTTTGAGAGGCCATGCAGGCGCCCACCTTGCTGATGAGCAGCACCATGGGCACCAGCACAAAGGTCACGACGGTCAGCCGCCAGCTGGCGCTGAACATGAACGCCAGGACGACTGCCGCCTGGGGCGTGTGTACGGGAAGTGCGTGTGCTTGAGTATGTGTGCGTGCGAGTGTAAGTTTGTGTGTGTGTTCGTGCGTGTGTGCATGCATACGTGCACGTGTGTGCCTGTGTGGGTGTACATGTGTGTGTATGTGAGTGTGCGCGCACATGTGGCACAGGTTGCACCAACTGGGTAGAAAACCATGCGCGAATTACGAAATCACGGCTCTGGGGACGCTTGACAGCAACGCAGCGGCGGACCGCGCCACGTTCGGTGATAATTGTCCGCAGAGCTGCCGAGGTGTCGTGCTGCGCGCACCTGAGTCGCGCTGCGCATGAGTATGTTCAGGTTCAAGGACACTTGGTCGCTGACTGTGGTGGTGTCCGCCGCCAACCGGCTCGTGATTTCGCCTGGTCGCACAACGGGAGGCACAAGGCGCCGGCCAAGGACGCCGCTTCGTTGTTGCAAAGTGCAGCATGCTCGTGCCGTCGCCGCATGCGTTCCGTGGCAGGGTGACGCCGGGAACACGGCAGCGGTTTCTGGCAAGGCGTGGCGCAATCTGCAGGACGCGACCCTGCACACACTCAACGCGACCGCCGCAGCGCCCACCTGTCTTGTTGGTGTCGAAGAACCCAGTGTCCTGCTGCAGCAGGCTGGCAAATAGCGCGCGCCTCAAGCGCACGTTGAGGCGCGTCATGCACACCTGCGCGGCACGGGCGGCCGTGTATGCTGGCTGGTCAACCGGCAGTATCCGGGCAACAGGGGGGTCAGGCTGGAGGCAGGCACCCAGCGGGCAGTACAGGCTGCTGCGTGCCTGGCACATGCTGCCGCGCCAGGGGGTGACAGTGGCTGAACACAAGGTTCGGGACCGTGTCGCGTCGCATCTGCAGGCTGAGACAGTCCTGATGAGCCCCCACGCGCCCTGCCAGAGACCCACGCTGAACAAGCCGCCGCGCGTGCCGGTAAACAGGCCGCCCAGCGCCGCCACGGCAAGCAGCTTGACTGTGGTGGTGTTGAACTTGCGCCTACGGGAGTGCAAGGGGGCCTGGGCCGTTGAGCCACTCCGGCAACAAGCGCTTGCATCCACTGCACTGGGCAATGTCTCAAGGGATTCGGCCCCCAATCACACACCCGCTGCAGGCACAAACTAGGAGCAGTCCGACCGCAGCAGCGACTGCAGGATGGAGACTGAGGACAGCGGGGCCGCGGCGCGCCTGTTGGGCTCGATGGAAGCAAAGTCTATGATGAGTCCGGTGTAGTATGGCACCAGCGCTGCCATGAGCGCAGCCGCAGCGCCGGCCGCAAACGCCGCCAGCAGCACCGGCGTGTCGGGCAGGCTCATGCGCAGCAGCTGCGCGATTGTGCCGCGTCTGCCGCCGCGCGGCGCAGCGGCGGCGGCGGCCGTCGCTGCCGCACCCGCGCCGTCGTCTGTATTTGCCGGCTTGGCTGCAGGCAGCAGGGGCTCCGAGAGCCCGGCCTCCTCGTCGCCGCCGGCAGCAGGGGCGCCGGCCTTGACTTCGAGCGCCGCCGCGGCCTCCCATGCAAGCAGCTGCTGCCTCGCGAGCAGGCTGGAGACGCCGGTGCCGAGCACGCCGACGCAGATCGAGGCGTACAAGCAGACCAGGCCCACCGCCCCGCGCGGCTGCGCGGGCGGCCACGCGCCGTCGGGCGCGAGCACGGCCGCGGCGACCGCCTTGGCCAGCAGCAGCAGCTGCGTCAGCGCGCCGGCGGCGGCGCAGCCGAGTTCGGCCTGCGGCAAATTCCCGCGCTCGGGCGCGCCGCTGCCGCGGCCGGCTGGCCGTGGGGCTCGCGCGCCTGCCACCAGCGCGAGCGTCGCAGTGGCGTGGGCCAGCGTGAGCAGCCACACGTCCTGCGGATGAGAATACGAGACCCACGTTTGAGCGTAGTTGAGGGGGCCTGCTGCGAACGATGCACTTGCGCGAGTGCCGGCGGCACATCCGCCCAGACCATGAGCGGTGCGCCATGTCGCAAAGCGTTTGATCGCGCCGCACCAAATTAGAGGCGCCAATTGAATAGAGCCGGAGCCATCCTTGTAGATGGTCGAGCTCATGAGCCGCTGGACCCAGCGGCCAGAACGTGCACCTGTGGTGGAATTCGACACAATGACGATCCCAGGGTGGGATGCAGCGCACCGCTAAAACTACATGAGCTCCACAAACAACCCTCTTACCATGCCACCGCCACCTGCTCCAAGACGACGCACACCAGGAGGGCGCCACCCATGATCCGAGCTCGTCAGTTCTGCCGTGATGGGTGAGCGCAAAATGCTGCCATCTATACCTGATGAAGACTCTTCTCAATCGTTAAATCATGCGTGCAGTGTGCATGCTCTTGCCTGCGTCAACAGGCGGGTGCTCACCTGAGTGACCGGCGCGTTGCGCCCAACCATATACCCGACCCTACCCATCGGCCGGCTTCGCCGCTCAAGCAGCTCGTAGCCAATGAAAATCAATTGGGATCTTGAGACCTGATTGAATGCTCCTTCTCTGAGCCTTTCGAGCGGTTGCACATCCCGCCCACGCTGTGTGTGCTGTGCTATGCTGTGCGGTTGGTTCCTGAGTGGCACACCCCTGAGTCCACAGCCCTGCTTGCCAAACCCCTGGCACTAGTCTGCCCTTTCTGCTCAGCCCCCAATATACCCCTAAAACCTAGAGCTGCAAGCTCAGCACAGTGGCTGGAGGCCGATCCAGATAACAATGCATCAGCCACGATGCAGCAGCCACCATCAAGTTGTGACACAGCAATCAACATGCTTCCTTCCCGCGCATCAATGAACAACCCTGAGCGCTGGGCAACCTCAGCCACCTGGCGAGGCGCAAGGCATGCTGGCACACCCCACGGCGCATCCAAGGTTCGACGGCGCACCACGCGCACCCGCGATCACACGTAGAACCGCTCACGAGCACCACGCGCGCACGTACGCCATGTCCCCGCCGCCCGGCGCCGGCGCCACCAACGCATGGTCGACCGCGCCCGCCAGCATCAGCACCGCGCGCCCCGCGAGCGGCGCCACGTCGAGCGCCATGCCGTCCTCTGTGTCCACCCACTCGAAGCCGCAGCAGCGCGCGCCGGCCTCCGCGTCGCTGTCCGCCAGCGACAGGCGGCCGTCCAGGCTCGCAGCGTCAGCATGGTCGGGCGCCGCGCTCGCTGCCTCGGCCACGACGCTGCTTGTTGTGCTGCCGAGGAAGTGGTGCAGCCGCAGCGAGCTGCTGCACTCGCTCGCGCCCTCGCTAAACGTCGTGCCCGCGTCGCTGCTCGTCGGGCTGCGGCGGCCGGGGGCCGGCGCGGCGCCGCCGCCGGCGCCCTGCTGCAGCATCGTCTGGCGCTGCGGCGGCCACAGGCGCAGGCAGCCGCCGCCCTCGCGCTCCCAATTTGGGTTAAGGAACACCAAAATGCTCACGCGCCGCAGCAGAGCCGGGTCTGCGCCGACCACCGCTGCGGCCGCCGCCGCCGCCGCGCTTGCCACCGCTGCCGCTGTCGCCGTCGCCGCGCCGCCGGGCGAGGGTGGCCCTGCACCCGAGGGCGCCGTGGCTAGTGCCCCGCAGCTGGCGCCGTTGGCGGCGACTGCTTGCTGCTGCTGCTGCTGCTGCTGCTGCTGCTGCTGCTGCTGCTGCTGCTGCTGCTGCTGCTGCTGTTGAGGCTGCAGCAGCTGCAGCTGTGGCGCTGACGTGAGGTACCCGCACCCATCATCAGGCAGCGCGTCGCGGTGGCGCGCCAGCGGCGCCGCACCGCCCGGCAGCAGCGCGAGCGCGTACTCCGCGCGGCCGCGCTGCTTGAGCCGCATGAACTCGTGAAGGTCGTCCTGTACCTCCTGCAGTGCGGCCAGCAGCGACGCAAAGGGCGCCGTGTCCGCTGGCGGCCAGCCGAGCTGCAGCGCAAGCCGCTGCTCGCTGGCGCGCGGCGGGCCGGACGGCGGCGGCGGCGGCGGCTGGGCCGCCTGCGCCTGCTGCTGCTGCTGCTGCTGCTGCCGCCGCTGCTGCTGCGGGGCCGCGGGCAACGGGGCGGCTGCCTGCCGCAGGTGAGGCTGCCGCCCCGGCAGCAACGCGGCAAGGCTCCGCGCAACGCCGCTGCCGCCGCCGCCCTCTGCGCCCGCTCGCGGCCCGGCGTCGACGCTAATGCGCAGCGCCCCAGCGCCGTTGCTGCTGATGGGGGTGAACTTGCCTGCAAGGGCGTGGCAGCACCCCAAGGCAGAATCGGTCGCAGGCAGCATGCTCCCCGATTCAGTGGTGCCTCCATGCTCACTGGCATCCTCAACCGTGCTCTCGGCGCACCCTCAAACGCCGCCAGCCAGTCGGCAACCATGACAGCCCAAAGCCCCAGCAAGAATCACCCCAGGCCCCTTGCCTCGCGCGGCCAGCCGGAGGGACTCTGCCTTGAGCCGCGCTGCCGCGTCCGCGCCCAGCAGGCCGTCTACAACCACATAGCCGTGCTGCCTGAAATCCTCCACCTGCATCATGCTCAGACTGCGGAGCAGACCCAGGAGGAAGCGGGGCGAAGGTCTTGAGCGTTGAGGGGCGGGTTCGGGGGAAGGTGCGGGTGCAGGCACCTGCCATAGAGGCGTCCTTGCGTGCCCAGACCAGGCCAAGTAGCCAAGCGCCTGCGATCCGTCGCCACAGCCGGGGGCCGCGCACCGCTTGAGAGGGATGGGTGGGTGAGACCTGCCAACAAAAAGCCGAGAGCAGACCTGCAGAGGGAGGTGGGGTTGCTGAGGAATCAGAACCTTGGGCCATGCCGTTTGATGCCTGGGTGCCATCTCTGGGTGCCAACTCACTGCTAGGGCACAACAGCACTGACAGCAGTATCGGCAACCCCTACGGCATATGCAGCTGCGTTACCCACAGGCCACGCCCCAAATCATCGCGACGGCTCCTATGGGAGGTTCCCACCTGGAGCGGCGGCTCTCGCGCCGCAAGCAGCCTCACAATCTCCTCCAGTGGCACAAGGCCCTCAACCGCGCCGCTGCCCCC